ACCTGATTCTAGGATGTATATTCTTGCCATAATCATCTCCTGGTCATGGTTATTCTTGACAGTGCCTGTATACATTTTTTTCTTGATTTGTTTTTTCATAGGCATGAATGAATTGGAAGAACTGCTGATTTTTTTCCTGACTTCTAACTTTTTTGTTGGAATTCCAGACATTAAAGATTATTTCTCTTTATAGGTTTTGTTTTTCAAGAATTGCCTTACGAGTTTCGCAGCAATTCCATTGTTTCTTGGTATGCTTTATATCTCCTTTTTGCTCTCTGCATTTTAGCTCTTACAGAGGAAAAGCTGGGATATAACCATTGTGGCACATAGTACAGATAACCTTGCGTGCTCCAAGTTGCTCCTTTCGTTGGCAGGTTAAACAGTATACTCCACAGAAACATAGAAACATGGTGATTGAGTCCCCGCCAGTCCCCCACGTTAGTTTCTCCTGGGCCTGAGAATTCAGCACAGTTTGAGGCGCTGATTTTTGGCTCATTAAGAATCAGCGACTGACGATGAGTGGCACTTTGCATGGGTCATTAAAGGCACTACAGAACCAGGAGGAAGGTCGCCTGTTTTTCCCTCCTCGGTTCTCTGCCCCTAGACTCGCGTTTGGTGATGAGAGCCACGTGACAGTTGCTGCCACATCCTCAGTGAGTCACACTAAACCTGTTATCTAGTCTTTTATAAACTGTCCATTTAACGATGGGTTATCCATTGTTAGAGACAAGGGCCATTCAACTTATCTTTGGACTAGAGAAAGATGGGAACATTTTTAATTATTTCAAGTTGAATTGTTCATAAGATATTCAGTATTTCCAAACCTTGAGACAATGTCAGGCATCTCAGATGTGGATGAAATAATCTATTTGTACTGAGAATCACAGATTCGAATTTACCGTAAGATATTCCACACGAATCTATATCTAGTACAGTTTGTTGTTTTCTGGCTAATTTATCCTTGATGATATATAGGTATATAGCAAAAAGACAAATACTCCTTTATTTGAAAACTCATATTTCTGTTTCCTGCTGTGAGTATTCTAAAGTCACTTTGAAATAAGACAGAGTTTGGGTTGTTTGTACACGTCGACCAGTTGTGAAGCCCCAGCCTTGGCAGGGGGCGTACCAGGAGCAGGTATGCCATGTGCCTTAGCACATCTGGGTCAGTGGCAGGCATGGGGCCAGCCCCAGGTCCCTGCTTGGCTCAGGGACGCTTCACCTCCTGGACAGGCGTGCCAGCATGCCTTGGCTTTCTGCCACGTTCGTAGGGTACACCTGCTCACACAGGTCGCCTTTGTGCCCTGTTTCTTGTGATGGGGCTCATACCTGAGAAGAGCCTTGCCGCCTATGCCCAAGACCCCAGTTTTCAAACTTGGGGGGAGTCACAGTAGGTGCCTGATGCAGAGACCTCTAATTAAAACTGTCACTATGGCACGTGTGGTTGAAAAAGGAAGGATTAGAAATATGTGCTATGCTGGAAACAGAGAAAGGGGAACCACTAGTTTTGTTAAATCTGATAAAAGCCAGGTTTGCCTGTATTTTAAAAGCAAAGCGTGGATATTTGGCTAAGAGATCACCCGGCCGTCCTGAGGCCTGACCTTGTCATAGTTACAGCGTATATTGAATTCAACCATCTGGTTTGTAATTAGAACAGTTAGGGGAGAATGCTGATGCCTCCCTGTGGGATCAGCCCACTCCGTGCCCTCTGCAGTGCCGACAGCTATTCTAGTGGATACTAATGCTTCTTCCTGTTAATTTCCTTTATTTGCTGCTTTTGAAGGAGACACAGCCTGAGTAAGGAAGAGAAGCTTCTAACCTGAACATTGAAAACAGATCCTGTGATCTGTCTGCTTCCTTTGGCTGAGGACTGTACTATAGTATTTCCCTGACACTGGAAAAATAGTGTATTTGTTGACACTGGACATTGTTTTGGCAAAAGCTATCAGAAGAAAATAGTTCTCTGTATCTTATTTTTAAAAGTGGTATTTCTTGTGTATAGAAATGTAATCTAAGTTACTAATTATGTACTTTCCCTTGACCTTTTATTTCTAAATAGAGCCACTCTATGGTGCATTTAAAATTGCTTGAGACATGCCATGTGTTTATCCAGATCTCCTGCAAGACGAGCTTCCGCACTACCGCCTCTCGTGTTTCGTTACCTTCTAGCATGTTGTGCCTCTTGCTTCCCCTTCTCAGTCTAAGACTCTTCTTTGCCCCATGTAGAGAAACTGTGCCTGATTCCAAAATCAGTAATTCCATAGATATTTAAAAACTCTCACAGAAAATAGGATATGATATGATGCAGCACACATTTACAGTAAAACTCACGACATTCAAAATGTAACTACTTTCAAATAAAAAAATAAATTTGGCAGACATTAACTTTCCTTCCTGCCCAACAGAAGCGTAGTTTAGGAGAATGTCAGGAACCTTGCACAGTTTATCCTGAGAATTCAACATTTTATATCTTGTTGATTTCAAAACATAGCGTCTAAAAATTCCATTGCAGCAGTGATTCAATGGAAACACATACTCGTGCTTTTTCTCTATACTTCTGCTCAAATGTCTTTGGATTCCTGATTTATTCTTCAGTTATTCACTTCTGCAGGTGTTTATTTCTCTTTACCTGTTAATATTTAATTACTGGGAAAGCAGTGAGATTGAAGTAAACTGTGTCCCCAGATGTTAGTGGGAATGCTGACAATATTTCTAGTCCTTGACATGCAAAATAATGAAGAGAAATAGTTTCTTCTCAATGAAGGGATCAGTTATTCTTCACTGTCTGGTCCCAAACGGGGCAGTGGCTTTTGTGTACCATCTAGTAGAACCATTTCTTGTACACATGCGTATGCTGGGGTGGAAAGGGCTGTCCTAGATTTAGGTGAGTTGCCTGATGAGATCCATTTTCTCCCAGGTCACTGGTCTGTACAGTATTCATATACCTGTTAAATATGAAGACAGTGATTTTTTTCTTTAAAGGATTTATGAGCCTATGCTTCAAACAACTTTTTTTTTTCATTATGAATTTCCACTATAGTTTTTGACACCAAGGATAGCTAAAGAGGGTGTACCATTGCAATAAAATGAATGGTTTTTATCTTGGGTAACCAGCTCTGCAGTGAAAAATTAAGACGCTCTAAAAGGCTCTGGTAACTTCATATTGTGCCAGGATGTTTGCAGTGTCAGCTGGATGAAAGGAGCCATTTGAGCCAATGGCCTCGCCAAATCCCACGCCTCTGTGTCTCCCAGAGACCTGCCTTTCACACCCATAGCAAAGCTGGGCCTTTCATGCTCTGCCTGGCTGAGATGCCAAGGGCCCGGGACCCCGTCCTGCCAGAGGGAGAGGGAGCTTGTTGCCCCTGTTGTCTTTATGGTCAAATAAGTAAATTTCATAATCATGGGATGTCCCATCTATTTTCTGTGTGCTGAGGTGTTTATTAGCTCAGTTTATCTCAGGTGGACAGATTTACTTTAAAATGTCTTGAAAGCTACAGAGGGAGGCAAGTCAGAGAAAGACAAATATGGTATGAAATCACTTATATGTGGAATCTAAAAAATTATATAAATGAATCTGTATATAAAATAGAAACAGATTCACAGACACAGAAAACAAACTTATCATTACCTAAAGGGAAAAGATAGGATAAATTGGGAATTTGGGATTATCAGAGTCCCACCATTATATATAAAATAAACAATAAGAACTTACTCCATACTCAGGGAACTATATTCAATAACTTGTAATAGCCTATAATGAAAAAGAATCTGAAAAATATTTGTAACTGGATCACTTTGTATACCTGAAACTAAGACAATATTGTAAATCAACTCTAATTAAAGAAATAAATTACAAGAGTGGATGTGTGTGTGTGTGTGTAACTGAATCCCTTTGCTGAATACCTGAAACTTACACGGCTTTGTATATCGACTTTACTCTAATAAAAAGTTAAAAATATGTAAATTAATACATAAAGGTCGTGCTGGCAGTGCAGTGGTGATATACATGGGCTTTCTCAGTTCACCTGAGTTTGAATCCTGGCTCTTAGCACTTCCCATTTTCCTAAACTCTTACACCTTACCCACACTCTGGGTGTTGGGCCTCTTACCTGATAATTTGGGTTAATAATGGTTCTTGCCTCATGGGGAGGATCATGAGGATTAAATGAAATGACACAGTTGAACTGGTCAGCACAGTTCTAGGTGATAGTAAATATTCAATAGGTACTAACTGTAATTATGATTTTAATGATTTTATTACTGCTGTTTCAAAAACGTGTCTTTTAGTGTTTTGTAAAGCCCTCCATTGGTATTAACAATAAGGATTATTCAGAGATCTCCTCCCATTCACACTTAAGAGAATTCCTTTTGATTTTTTTTTAACCTCTTCGCCAAACCCATCCTTGCCACCATCTAGACCCTAGACATTTGTCGGGAGCTCAGTTGATTATTAATCAGATGGAGCCTAAAGAAAACACTTGGGATTGTTTTAATTGTGGTTTAAAGAGCTTTCCATACTACACTGTCTTATGAAAATGCCTGGAATTTAAAGCGAATGTGAATAAAATCTCCAGCTTTGGAGCTTTATGTACAGCACACAGTCTTATAGTCGGTGAAGAAAAAAGATGTTATTCAGTGATTAAGACTTTCTGAAAAGATTCTGGCTTATACCATACATATTTTTTAAGTCAGGATATGTAATCTGTTCTTTTCTTTCCTACTCATTCCTGTAAATTGAAAGGAACATCAAAGCCAGACAACATTTGGAAGTGCTTTCGTGCTACCTTTGTGGAATAGTATCTCTTAAGCAATGGTCTTTTGTCATGAGAGAGACTTAGCATTTCTCTTTCAAAGGAAACTATCATTTTTCTGAATAAACTCTGCTGGTTGGGTGCTCTTTTCTTTGCTTGAAGCTGCCTCCTCTGCCTGCCCGGGTTGGGTATTTGCAGTGCAGTGATCTCGGTCTCTCTTTGTTCTTCCATCCAATGTGCCTTTGCCAGCGGATGGTTTCCCGCTCTTTGGGAGCGAATCCAGACGGCCTGAAGGACCCCATCAAAATTAGCATCCCCCGCTATGTCCTCTGCGGCCAAGGGAAGGACGAGCACTTCGAGTTTGAGGTCAAGGTAAGTGTCCCTTCATTGCTCTCCTGGAGGCTGGAGGCGTGAGGCTCTGCAGTGCTCTTTTTTGGTAAAAGGAGATAACGCTACACAGGAACATGTAGTTTTGTACAATACTGGTCTTGTCCTTCTTTAAACCAGTATGTGAAAGTCTGGCCTGGAACAGGTGGAGGGAAGTTACCCCATGGAAGGTGGTGGTGGATGGGGAGTCAGGCCGACGTGGACATTGCTGTCACCTCCTAGGCCCACCGGTGAGGTCACCAGCCACCCCGGATTGCCAGGATTTTCCTGCTTTGGGTATAGACGGTTCTACACCTCAGGAAACTGCTTAGTACCCAGGCAAACCAGGAAGTCAGGCCATCCTACCATGGACTTTGGCTCAATTTTTTTTTAATCTATTAGAGCAATAATATTTATGTCACAGGGATGTTAAGTGCATATAAAAGGCTGACTCCAGTTTTTGGTATATGATAAAGAATACATTATGGCTGTTGCTGTTATTCCTACTGCTGTTTTCATTGTCGTTTCTGTTATTAGTGAGTATGAAGCTTCCCTAATCTGTTATTTGACTTATAGGACTTTTCGGGAAGAGACGTGCCTGTTTCCTTACCTCATCCTTCCCCAGATAATGACTTCATCTTATTTCTAGTTGAATTCCATTGGCTCATATGCTTCATTAAATACTGCTGGCTGCCGTCCTCTCCTCAGGGGATTGGTGGGTAATTGCACTTCCCTTTTGAGGATGAGCGAGGGTGTTGGTGTCATGCCGGCCACTAGGATCACCAGTATCTGTCTGCAGGAGGGCGTTCCTGGAGGTGGTTTTGGTCGCCAGAGTCTGGATGTTGAGTTCTCGAAACTTGGATTCTACTGCAGCTGACTGAGTGACCCGAAGTCTTCCTCTTGAGCTTCGGTTTCCTCACTGGTAAAATGAGGAAATCGGACATCACCAGGGGTTTCCAGATTTCTCTTTAGCGAACCCTTTGAACGGAGAATCTCGTATGAGGAGGACACTGCAGAAGCAGATAAGCATGGATCTGCTGTGGGGGGATCCTGAAGCCAGCCCACCCTCCCCCAGCACTCCCCCCACCTCCCAGATGCATCTCAGGGGAGCCCTCAGGCTCTGGGGGATCCCTCCCTTTAGACATGTGTGTTCTTTCAGTCTTCCTGGAGAAACAATGCAAATAACTTATCTAATTAATCAAACTTTTTAGGTTCTTATTTCTACCTACTGATTATCCCCTCCCCACCCCCTTTTTAACAAAACTTGTGCATTAATTTATATATTTGAGGTGTCTGTTGAGAAGGCATGATTGTTGTGTGGCAGTGGTGGTGGTTGAACTTGGCCAGATTCTGCAAATGTTCTATTATGTCCTTAACCCAGAGCTTCTACTGCTCCTGACCTAATGCCTGATTCCTGCCCCATTTCTTTTCTCAGCCATTTGAAATTGTGTGTGTAAACAGGTCCGTTTGGGGCTTCCCTGACGGCTCTGCAGTAAAGAATCTGCCTGCAATGCAGGAGATGTGGGTTCAATCCCTGGGTTGGGAAGATCTCCTAGAGGAGGAAATGGCAACCCGCTCCAGTATTCTTGCCTGGGAAATCCTATGGACAGAGGAGCCTAGTGGGCTACAGTTCATGGGGTCACAAACCAGTTGGACACAACTTACTGACTACAGAACAACAAAAAGTTCCATTCATACCTATGTGTTATATGTTGGATTGGCCAAAAAAGTTTGCTGTGAATTTCTCCGTGTAAGGCGTATTTATATATATTATTTCTATATTTTTAAATGAGAGGGTAAAGAGTGACTTTTGCCAACTCAAAATTCTTCAAAACTCACAGCCCTGGAGGACATGTAATGATCTTGGTTGGTACAGAGATTTATTTTATTGGATAAACGTGCTAATAAAGTATAATTGTTAGATTGATTTCATGCATAGAACTTAAGACATGAGTAAAGAAAATACTTAATTCTTTTTAACTGAGTTGATTTAAGTGAAAATTGTAAGCAGATTACAGGCTGGCCATATGCAGATCTGGCCAAAATTGTGATGCAACTGTAAAGGCAAATCAGAGAAACCAAAGACATGAAGTGTCTGGAGCCGTTCAGACTCCTGGCTGCGCTCTCTAAGCTGATCAAAGCCTTGCTGAAAGCACGTCATTGCTCTGCTTCCTTCTGTCCCCATCCCAGGTGCTGTCATTATTAGCACCAGGACTGGACTGTTAGCGTTTGCCTGGAGAAGTCCCAGTTCTTGACAGAGGAAGGGCTGCCTCGTGCGTTCTCAGGGCGGTGGCCTGAGGGCCTCGCGTCCCTGTAGGCGCACCCTGTCCCCAGCGGTATCAGGGTCCGTTCCTAGACACACGCGTGATGAGACTGTGCTGTCCCTCCCTTGGCAGGACAGACCAAAGTACCTGGGCTCCAGTAGAAGCGGAGCTGTTGGAGAAGTGCTGGGGGTTGGGCATTCCCCCTCCAGGTAACCTCGCCGCGCCTCGTCTGTGAAATGGGGCTGAGGGAGCCTGTGGGCTGGCTTGGTCTGAGGACTGTAAGAGCTTTGTGTGTGAAAGGCTTGGAGTAGGGCCGGCCACATTCTAAGTACTGGATAAGGTGTTGAGAATGAGTGAGATTTTACTCTTGGAAATCCCTTAATGGCTTTCATCTTTATGACTGTTTGGGTTCTGTTGTTGTTTTTCTCCCTCAGTGTTCTGAGTTTGAAAATGATCTACGCTAACCGTTTCCTGGGCGTCCCAGGTAGCACTAGGGGTAAAGAACCTGCCCTGCCCAATGTAGGAGACACGAGAGACGCAGCTTCTGTCCCTGGGTCAGGAAGATCCCCTGGAGGAGGAAATGGCAACCCACTCCAGTATTCTTGCCTGGAGAGTCAGTGCTAAAGGAAATCAATCTTGAATATTCTTTGGAGGGACTGATGTTGAAGCTCCAATACTTTGGCTACCTGATGCAAAGAGCTGACTCATTGGCAAAGATCTTGATGCTGGGAAAGATTGAAGGCAGGAGGAGAAGGGTATGACACAGGATGAGATGGTTGGGTGGCATCACCGACTCAATGGCCATGAGTTTGAGCAAGCTCCAGGAGATGGTGAAGGACAGGGAAGCCTGGCATGCTGCAGTCCATGGGTCGCAAAGAGTGGACACAACTGTATGACTAAGCAACAGCAACCACCATCTCCTTCCATCACTTTATCTCATGCACAGGCAATGTTTTCTACAAGTCGTCACATTTAGGGTAATATTTTGGCTGCTACTAAATTCTCTTGGTGAACCAATGGTTTTAAAAAGAGAAGGTTAAAAATATACTATTTTTTGAAAAAAATCTGTGTAGTCTTAGATCTCCTTATATGTGATATAATATGTAATATTAATGTATATTTTATATCAGGCTCATTTAGGGGGCCGAGCTGACTCAGGTACCAGGCCCCCAGGTGCGCGTCCCCAGTGGTTGAAGTGGCAGGTCCCCGAGAGCCCAGGAGGACACGTGTGCAGAAAGTGACAACTGCGGAGAGCTTGTCTCAGCTTCTCCCGCACCCTTCCCGTTCCTCCACCTCCTACCTTCTCGCCCGCTCTGCTGTAGATAGAATTGATTAGTTATTTACTTTCCATATTCCTGTCCATTTTCATTTTAACCTCCAGTCTGATCACTCCAGCTCTCCAAAATGGCCTGTTCATTGCCAAACGAAGCAGTCGTGATCCTTGTTAAAGGAATGTTTGAGGTTGGCTGCAGGGCGGGGGACCAGAGAAGGGGCCAGAATGCTCACTTTCTGGTCCACAATGCGTCCTGAAGAACTTTCCATCACTGAGCTTTAAAATGAGAGAAAAAAAAAAGTTTTTAATTCAAAAGGACGTTTATGTCTTCTTTATTTGGGGGATTAAAAACAACTTTCTTTTATAAACTAACTGAGAATGGATGCATATAAGGTTTTGGGGTTTTGGTCAAATTTAATTTTTAAAATCAACTTCATTTAGGCATTATTTACACCCAGTGAACTACACCATTTTAAGTATAGTTTGATGAGCTGTGACATATGTGTACACCCAAATCAAGCAGCCCAATCAAGATTTAGAAGTTTTCATTCACTCTAGAAACTTTCTAATGCTCCAGGCAAACCCTGATCTGCTCTCTGTAATTATAGCTTCCTCAGGTCTGTTGTGTGTGGAGGCGATGGGACCAGGAGACATTGACTCTCTTGCATCTGGCTCCTTCCTCTCACATGCCTTTCAGAGATGCATTCGTACAGTGAAGTGTAGCAGGGGTTTGTTTCTTGTTCTTGCATAACAGCACCCTGCTGTGTGGCTGCATCACAATTGCTGGGTCAGGGTCTGTTCTGACGTTCTCATCTGACAGTGCAGGAAGCTGTCATCTCCATGTCACAGACCCCCCACCCCATCCCACCCCCTTATTTCATTGACCCTGGAGGACTCATGCCTGGAAAACCCTGGGTGAAGATGTCCTTGGGTGAAGTCATACCTCCCAGTGTCTCCCAGCAGCACATCCTTCTGGAGCTGTGTATGCATGTATGTGGAGAGGTGTACGTCCCGCCAGCTGATGTCAGCGGCAGACAGGCTGCGGGCGTGCAGCCTGGCTTCTCTTGGCAAAGAGCACATGGTGTGCTGCATTCCATTGAATGTGGCGGGCTGATCAGCTGAACATAGTAGGTTGGTGCAAATGTAATTTCGGTTTCGGACTGTGAACTTTTATTTCAATGAGACTCAAGCACATCTTCACTAATCAAAATAGGAATGATTAGGCAGCACATTTTGGCCAATGAGAAATAAGTTTGTTTATTCCTGTAGCATAAAAATCCGTGCCTCGGGATTCGATGAACTCTTGGAAAGCATTTTCTGCCTCCGGCTGGTTGTGGAAGTGCTTTCCCTACAAAAAGTTGTTGAGATGCTTAAAGAAGTGGCAGTTGATTGGCGAGAGGTCAGGTGAATGTGGTGGATGAGGCAAAACTTCGTAGCCCAATTCGTTCGACTTTTGAAGCATTGGTTGT